TATTAGCAAGCTATAGTAGTTATTTTATTATTACTATGCTTAAGGTAGGTAATTTACAACATACTCTGCATTTTTATGGGTTTTACGTTTTTTGTCATTTAATTCTAGAACAGTTTGTTTGTGATATCTTAACAGATTGGTTCAGATTTCATATGCTTAGATATCCAGGCTTGAGATGTATTTGAGACTTTAGATAAAGTACCACAAATGCGATACTTGGAGAAAACAGCTCTTATAGACAACAAAAATTTGTTCTGACTTAGAAAAAGTGAGTGGGTGCAGGATATTTCTAAATTTGCACATGTAACCTATCCTAACCTTGTGAACTACTTACTTTACACTAGTGCATATATGTTAGAAGAACATAGGTGTTACAAAGAATTAGATGTTATGATGTTTATAGTTGGTGTTTATAGTCCTTGCTAGTAATTTTGATGGCTCTTCTATAAAAATTTTGAAACAGTGCACAATAACAGCAACTTTCAATCCATAATATTTATGGAAGTTCATAGCATTGTATAGTCTTGCAAAGGTTGTCATAGTCTGGTCAGGGATTAAGAGGTTTCATTCATTTTCATGTATCATCAGCAACTGATGATATATGAAAATGAATGTAACTAACATTAACATTTGAAACGTAAATAAGGAGCTATTATGAACTTTGTGGAAAAATTATACAAACAGTTAAAAAGTTCAAGTAATAAATTAAAATTTGGTACTCCTATGAAAATTCTTACATTTACCTGATCAGCTTTGAACACTGGCATATTGATTTTAGTAATCATCAACTTTCTTGTAACTTAGAATTCTTCACAGATATGCAACAGTGATAAGGCTGCTTGATTATCTTTGACATATTGTTACTTTTTTGTAAGGTGCGTGTATCTGATGGGCTTAAATATTATCTTGCTGTCATATCCCAGTTTTAAAAACAGTGCCCAGACAGAATGTGTATCATAATACAGACCCAAAGAAGGGGTATTACGTACTTTGTTTAAAAAAACATTTTTTATGACACATTTATGTATAATTTATATTTGCATCAACTGCAGAGATTGTCAACATGTACATTTAATGACATTTGCAATCAAGACAAAAGGATCTTTCTGCCCAGATTTTTATATATAATAATCCAGATATGTAATCTATGTAGATATGTGCTTGCTTACTCAAATGGAAATTTACTTAACTTTCTGAAAGGAAATCCCCTCGACGTGGATTCCTGTACGTGGTGAGGGAACCTCCCAGGGAAGGTTCTA